AACGCTTCGTATTCCATTTTATACTTAAAAACGTAATAAAAGATATTTGAAAAATGATTTTCGTGAATTTCTGCGTTTTTATCATGGGGCATAGATTAGACCATGAAATATATTAAATCTGTAAGAAAATATCAGCTTTGTTTTGTTTATTTTTGGGGGAAACTTCGTCATGTTTCCATTCTGGCCAAATTTTGCAAACCAGCTCATTTTTCATCTGTCAGAATGGTTTTTGACTCGAATGAAAAATTTTTACCATTGCAATGTTATTACTTATATTGGCAGGTACAGTATATATTGCAAACATGATTCTCATGTTGATACATTAACAGTATTCAGCGTTAAAGTGCTTTGATTCTAAATGTGAAAGAAAACTTTCTTGATCGCAAACGACCTGAAAAAGGACTTCATACAATTTTAATTTCCGTCATTCTTTTATTTGGAGTATGTTCACGTTTGTTGCTATGCACAATAGAGGTGTATAGGGCCTACAAAAAAACTCCTTAATATAATTAGTATCGCTTCAGAAGATATTTTGTTAAATACATATTAATTTTATTTGAGTTTCATTGCGTTTGGTTTTTTTTGAAAATTCAAATTTTTTATGGTAAACGAAAACTATACGTGTGGCGCCATTTTGTGGTGAAATGGATGAACTAATAAAAAAAATGCTTATTCCATTACGCATACAAGGAAATCATTTATTTCCTACATATCATTTCATATATTTTAATTTTTATTATATGTTATGCTTCCCGAGATATTTTCAAACAAATTATTAACATTTGTAGCATTTTATTACCGATTAAGTCCCAAAAATCGACATTTATTGAATTAAGTCCAAAATGGCGCCACTTATCAGTGGAATTACAAAAATATAAAATTGCGATTTTTGCTGAAATTAGCGAATTTTAAGTATTTCCGAGGCTTGCGAACTATTATATGATCAAATTAAAAGTGAAATAATATCACTAGGTCTGTTTGATTGAGGCGCTCCGCGCCTAACCTAATAATGTTGAGCGAGCGAGTAAATTTCACGCTAAAGCAAAAATAGTCAACCGTGTCATCCGGTTGAATTGGTTGAGAGGTGCAAGAGAAAAACGTGGACAAAAAAGTTGAAAAGTCCGGTTGAATTGGTTGAGA